CAGTAATCCCCATTAACTCAGACTGTTTCTGCACTATATGTGCAACATCAGCATGGGAGGGTTTCAGTCCTCCCAGCCTCTCAAATTTTGCAGGGCAGCTATGAAGATCTACACTTCAAGCAAAACTTAGGTACTCTGTTTTAGAATACTCACAGCTTTTCAAAGAGTCCTATTATTATTTTTAAAGGATCTGGATAACAATAGCACAATTTCCTAAATGATGCCCGCCTTTTTCAGAACAAAGGCAATTCTTATCTTGTAGCATTCTACCAGGGCAGGCTTAGCAGCAGCATTTAGCTATTGGCTACAGCTGGCCAACAACCAGGCTTTGCTCTCTGTTAGCCCAACGGCACAGACTGTGCTGAAAGTGGCAAGTGCCCCATCTATAGGCAGACACCTGCAGCCCCCATCCCACCATACGACACTTGCTGTGTTATCGTGCGTAAGAAACAAGACTGCAAAGACCAGGAGCTCAAAATTAGGAATCCAAAATGCAAGCTTTAGGCTGAAGGAGGCGGTATGCAGCCGTGGTGGATCAGCACATCAGAGAAAGGAATGACGCAAAACAACAACAGAAAACTCCAGGACTTATTTTCAGAAGTAAGGTGACCGTAGCTCAGTGACAGAGCATCTGCCTTAAATGCACCTGCCCAAGTAAGGCTGGGAGAGACTCCGGTCTGAACTTTGGAAAGCTGCTGTCAGTCAGTGTTGAACATACTAAGCTGAGCTGACCACTCAAATAGAAGGCAGTGTTCCTATGGCCTCTTCATAGTACCCTAAACACGTGTCTAGTTTGCACAAGCAGGAGAATAAGATGAAGAACCTGAATCTGGGTTGCTCAAAGTGCCATGTGCTCTGTCACACAGCACAGAAAGCTACCGGTATGTGTTATGTACTGAAGTTCTCACCCTGGGCCAGCAGGGGGATATTGTGGATAGTTTTCACTCAGGTCCACATATGCAAATAAGGGATTGAAAGTGATGTTCAGTGATTGGATAGTTACAGAACGTTGTTACAGTTGCGTTGTACTGGAGCTCTATATAAGCAGGCTGGCTGAACCCTTCAGTTCAGTTCTGTTCTGGCCTGTGAATAAACAAGAGCTGTTTGAAGAATCACTGTGTCGTCTAATATGTTCATCCACAACTTAACACTATGCTTAAAAAAAACTATGGAGAGAAAACTAGCAGGAAGGGTCTAGCCTAGCTAAGCTAAACCCTTCCACCTGGCATGACAGTTTTCTATGTGTGGCAAGGTTGGGGAGGGGGTAAAATATAATCCTGGGAGTCATGGGAGTCCCTGCCTGTAGTTCTAAGTTGGGGTAGGCAACCTAAGGCCCATGGGCCGGATGCGGTCCAATCGCATTCTCAATCCGGCCCGTGCATGGACCAGGAATCAGCATGTTTTTACATGAGTAGAATGTGTCCTTTTATTTAAAATGCATCTCTGGGTTATTTATGGGGCATAGGAATTCGTTCATTTCCCCCCAAAAAATATAGTCCAGCCCACCACATGTGCTGAGGGACGGTGGACTGGCCCACGGCTGAAAAAGGTTGCTGAACCCTGTTCTAAGTGATCCAATTGAGATACGGGTTTACTGAATCATCTTCCATTTGTGAGAACTAGGCCACAGCGATGCAATAAAAATTGCTCTCATGCCTCCATAACCTACTTCCCGTTCTATGCCCTTTCCATTTGAGACAATTTCATCTTTTCGCCTGTCATGTCTCTTCAGCTACAAATGACTTTTCTATCCTGCCGTCCTGGGTCAAAAGCAGTACTCAGGGCAGCATGCAACCTTTACCATTGCCGTTTCATTAAAACAACAGTATAAAACTATCAACCAAGGAGACAGCACCTGCAGTTTAACGTCAAGCATAAAAATGTTATCTGCCACATACAGGTGACTCTCAACTTGCAGAGAGGTTGTGTTCCAGGGATAAAGCCAAAATTGTGTACAGTGGCACCTCGGGTTAAGTACTTAATTCGTTCCGGAGGTCCGTTCTTAACCTGAAACTGTTCTTAACCTGAAGCACCACTTTAGCTAATGGGGCCTCCTGCTGCCGCCACGCCGCCAGAGCACAATTTCTGTTCTCATCCTGAAGCAAAGTTCTTAACCTGAGGCAATATTTCTGGGTTAGCGGAGTCTATAACCTGAAGCGTATGTAACCTGAAGCGTATGTAACCCGAGGTACCACTGTATAGTCAAAACATACTGGGTGCAATGGCAGGTGGGATTCCCCAAGTTTATTTCCCCCTGAATGCCCAGCTCCTTTTTAAATTAAAGAACTTTTTTTTTTTGCCTAGCACGTAAAGTTGAATGTGCACAAGTTGAATGTGTATGAACCGTGAGTTACTTGTATGCAGCAAAAGCCTGCTGGAATAAAACAGTCTTTATTAATCAATGGGAAACAGGGAAGGAGCAGCCAACCTTTCTTAACGGGGAAAGGGGTTCCATACTCTGGGGCGCAGCCAAACTATCTCTTCTCTCACTATATAAACGTTTGCAAACCTGGTGCCCTCCAGATGTTCTGGGTTACAATTCCCATTGTTCCCAATCACTGGTTGTCCTGGCTGAGGTTGATGGGAGTTGTAGTCCAAAGCATCCTACGCTATAGGACACATTAACTATAACTGCTGAAAATGTGGCAAATGCCAGCTGTCGTTCAAGGAGGGAAAGACGACGAATTTTGCAAGGGCTCGAAAATGCATTTCCCCATTTCCCAGACTATACAAGTCACCTGTAAGCGGCTTTTCAGATGGTCACAAAACTTGCATTCCTCAATAGGTGCACATTTCCCTGTTAAGATATGCAAAAGAGAACAAGCGCACCTTACAGGTCTGGCCCACTGTTTGCAGATCGCGGCCATTCCCTCTGTATTTAATATGTGCTACATGAATATTAATAAAATATAGTTTTAAAAAAGCTACCACGCTGCAAATAGCTGTGGAAAGCATTTCAAGCGAAGGGAGAAGGTGGAACGAATCTCCAAATCAAACGGGATGGAAGTTTTCCAGTTCCTGAAGATTGCTGCCCGGCTAGTTAAGCTTGACCAATATCGGACAGTGGGGGCGTCAAGGGGGAGGCTAGCAGAGCCAAGAAAAACCCTTCCCTCCCAGCCGCCTTCCTTTTGCAATCGAGATTGGCACCACCACCTTCAGGTGCTTGGCTGAAGCCAGCAATGTCTCTTCCTCATTATTAGCTGTGATCTTTTATTAGCTGTTGGAGACTGGTGCTGGCTTCTCCAGGCAAGCTCCCTGCCATGGCAAACAGAAGCAGATCCCAAACACATGTACATGTCTGCGTGTAACCCTTTCTCGCTGCAGCAAAATATCTGCAAGCTGACGGATCGGCAACTTGGGACTTCCAGGGGAGTGGGGACGGGGACCACACCAAAACTGACAAAAGAGTGTGTGCACATGTTCATCCTCCTCAACTGAGTTGAGAGACACACATCTGGCAAAGGAGGCTCTTCTCTACCAAAAATAAAATAAAATAAAAATCAGGCCGCAATATATTGGCTTAGCTTCTAAGCTGCTGCAGGAGCCTTTTGCCGTGTTAGCTGCAAGCAATTCTCTGGAAATTTGTCCCGGATGAGCCAGGCAAGCTCAGGGGAACCATTTGGACTTAAAACTGAGCCAGGGCTCATTGGGGCTTAGCAAGAGAACCTGCTGTCCGTCCCCAGGACATGGGAAGCAAGGAGAGAAGGGATTCCTTTGTGTGTGGTAGTGCCCGTTCCACAAGTAACTGCGCATCTGGCACAAGGGGCAAGTCTTTTTACACACACAGCACATTTATGTAGGGGGGGGGGTTGGATGCCTGTACACAACCCCTAATTATTTCCCCCCATCCTTTCATTACTGAAGGAAGCCCAGGTGGCTGAGTCTACACAGGAGACAGATTTATTAAAAGCCTCCGCAACTTGCAACTTTGGCTCCCCACATGGGTGCAGAATTGCATCCTTTCAAAGCAGGCTTGAGCACTGAAAGGGAGCCACAGTACCAGAATCTGGGGGACAGAACGGAGCAGGGAAGTGTAAATTTCAGGAATCCCCAAAAGAAGATCCGCTCTGGAAAACGCACACACAATATCAATCCCTCGTGTTCTGGGCGGATTAAGCTTTCATCTTGGTTGTCCTGTCCCATTAATGCAATTTCACTGCCCTGACCTGTTCAGAAAGACTTCAAACCCCCCAAACCAACCACTTTTCAATCCATACTGATGGGTGTCAGAGGTTTGGGACGCTGGAGTAAGTGGTGGAACTTATTCTGGAGTACAATCCTATGCACATTTGTGTATAGGGTGTAAATACCAATCAGAATCGATATTGCTGCATGGGAGAGTTCGACTTCTTCCAGTTCCGACTGTACTTAAATACACAAACTCACACATAAAACGTCACAACCGTGAACTCCGCATTAATCTGGAGTAGCCACCGCTTCCTATTAATCACAGGACATTCACACTCAATAACCCTTACAGCGCAATTGTTACGGGTGCCTATTCAGCAAATTCCGCCGGTTTTAATGCAACTTACTCTTATGCATGGGGCTGCTACATACTTGCGGGGCTTGCGTTTGAGTAGGCACGTGTAGGATTGCACTCCTTCATATTATTATTATTACTATTATTATCCTAATTATTCTGACTTCGAGGCCAACAGAGCAATTAAATGGTATTGCGATTCCATTTTAAGCGTTGTCGCCTCTGCGAGGGGGTTCGGCGCGCACTAAATCCTCTTGCCCGCGCAACTCCCCATCCCCAGACGTTCCCGACTGCAGCCGCGCTTTGCTATTACACGTGGGAATCCGCTTTACCCCTTGACGCTCTACGGGTGCAACGGTGCCGCGGCTAACCCAGCTCCTTGGAGACCATCAGCAGGGCATAACCGAGGGAGCTGCGAGTCTTCACGCTCCAAAGCGGCAGTCAGGAACCCCAGGCGCAGATGCAAGCTCAAACCCACGCTCCCATTAAGAAACAAAAATATCGCGCGCCTGCTTACCTACGAAGAGCCCCACGAGCCACCAGGAGCCGAGCATGGCCAGGTCCAAGCCCCACGCGGCGGTGCCTTTGCAACAACCTGTCCCCGGGAAACAGCCGGGGAGGAAAAAACCAAAGCGCGCACGGAGAGGAGGCAACTCCGGTGCTGTTTTGCTCAGCGCGCACCGCCTGTGCCGGGGAATCCCCGGGGTCCATGTGCAGCTGAGAAGCCAAAGTCCCGGGCAGGCGGGGAGAGGCAGCCCACGGGCAAAGGAGGCCCCGACGGGCTGGGTTTGGCGGCGGCGGCTGCTTCAGAAAGCGAGAGAGAAACACGCCGTGCTCCTCTCTCCTCCTGCTGCTCCCCTTGCAGCGCACGGCGCGTTCGCTTCTTCGGAGCCGCAGCGCCTGGCTGCCGATAGTTTTAAGGCAGTTCGGCAGATCCCAGGTTCGCCGGCCAGAAGAGGTGGAGACTGGGGAGGTGGTTGGGGGGGGGGAGGGAGGGAGGGACGGGCGGAGAGGGGTGTCCCCACGTCCCTCCACGCACATTTCGGTCACGCCCAGCCCTGGCCGAGTCCCTCCGCCGACTTCCCCACCCGCAGCAGAAATTATTTGCGGTCTCCCCCCACGCCACCATTCACAGACCAAAATCGCTCTCAAAGAGGATTAGAGGAGAAATTCGTGGAAGGCGAGGGCTGCTAGCCACGATGGCTTTGCGCACTGTCAGCGGCCGGTTATTTTATTTTATTTTTGATAATTACATTTATAGCCCAGCTTTTCCTCCAAAGATCTCAAAGATAAGTGAGTAATATGATAAGTAATATGGGGCCCTGAGCAAGGACAAAATTTGGGTACCCCTCCCCACTAAATATTTCTTATTTTCACAAATTTTCCCTTTTTTTGCACGATTGCTTTTTATGGGTGTTCTCAGTTGGTATCCATATAAATATGGTAAAGGGACCCCTACCATTAGGTCCAGTTGTGGCCGACTCTGGGGTTGCGGCGCTCATCTCGCTTTATTGGCTGAGGGAGCCGGCATACAGCTAGCATGTGGCTAGCATGACTAAGCCGCTTCTGGCGAACCAGAGTAGCGTATGGAAACGCTATTTACCTTCCCGCCGGAGTGGTACCTATTTATTTACTTGCACTCTGACGTGCTTTCAAACTGCTAGGTTGGCAGGAGCTGGGACCAAACAATGGGAGCTCATCCCATTGCGGGGATTTGAACCGCCCACCTTCTGATTGGCAAGTCCTAGGCTCTGTGGTTTAACCCACAGCGCCATTATTATTACTGTTTTGCGCACTGCCACTCTCAAATTCAGTTTCCTCACTGCCCTAGCTTTGGGCACAGAGCAAAATCAGGCCTCTGCACTCACTTCCGGATCACTTCTTTATTGAGCGTTCATCCCGATTTGTTTGCAGGACAGTTAGATGGTGTTCCAGTGCATTTCCCTGTCACTTTCCTTACAGTAAGAAGTCTGATCTTTTGGAGATGCAGGTTTCTTCAGCAAGAACCCCCAGTCAACTATTGATGGTGCAACCTGAATTTTCAGGTATGTGATTGAATCCCACCTGCCTCACCTGAATGAGGCAAGAGGGGTATCAACTGTGACCTCACTCAGTGGCTGTTGGAACATAAGGAACAGGCTTCGCCATCAAGGAAAGCCTTTGCAACCCTGATAGCAAACTCGTGGTCTCTTGCCAGTGCCAAGTGCAAAGCAGACTAATACGTGTTTTGGTGTGCCCAAGGCAAAGAAACCAACCAGTCCCGTTTGTACCTGAAGCAAAAATATAATGAGGAACTGTTTGTGTTCTTTGTAGCTCTTTAGAAGTGCCCAAAATATATTAGCTGTAGCAGCTGCCTCCCTCTGCCTGATGGGGCAACTCCCTGGCATGTGTATGATTTCAGCATCCATTGGGAGGTGTGCCACAGACACTCTGTGTGCTAAGAGTTGAATTCTGCACATGATAAGGTCTGAGGGGGACAGCATCTGTATCAATGTGTTCCCTGATACCACCATCTTTCTAACCAGGGGACCGTGCAAGCGGAGCTTTAAAAACGGGGGCAGATATCGCAAGGATTTGCAGGAGAGCCGCCACCGCCGATACAGTTGCTGGCACCGTTTTTGTGTCCTCTGGGCTGAAAACAAGCAGGCTCCAGGGTCGTGTGAATCAGCCCTCGTGAGTGTTGAGGCAAGCGATGCTGTGAGTTTGCCCAAGGGAAGGGCTTTTCAGCTGAGCACCACCCTAGCCAAGTGGCATGCCCTTTGGGCTTGGAAGCCAGCCATCTCTCAACTGCCAAGAAAACCTCCTCCCCTCCTGCTTCACTTTCCTGCCATTGCATGCCTTTCCCACCAAGGCTGCTTTGAGAGACCCACTATTCAATAGTTTTGTATCTCCCAGAAGGAGCGTTTCTGCAGCCAGCTGGGGCCTGAGGACAATAAGCGAGAGAAGTGGTGTTTTCTGCCAGGGACATAAGCCTTAGACAAGAGTTTCTCTTAATATATTAATTAGTGTTTTGGAGGGGATGTTGTGGTTTGTTTGTGTTTCCAGGGAACTGGGGCAAGTGGAGCCTGGTATCTGCCAGTCCCCCCCCCCAAAAAAAAATTCTGAAAGCAACAGCTTCCTGAAGCTATAGGAGACTGGGGGACATCTGGGCAAATATGCTGTTTATCAGCCAAGTAGCATGATGACCGCTTCTATAACTGGCAGTATTTGTCAGGCAGTATTGGTAGTTATCGCTAGCCAACCCTTTAAATGTGTAGCAGGAACCTGAACCCCCCCAATCATTCAGTTTGTACAAACTTCACACACACACTCACACACGACATACACTACTCTTCTGTTATAAATTCATAGAAAATCAACCATACATTGGATTTGCACTGTTCCACTTTTATTTTACTCCATGAAGGAAGGACTACAAAATGGGGAAGGTTTGATACAGGGCAGCCATAATCCCTTGAGCATACCAGCACATACACAGGAGCCCTGCCCAGTTGCTATGCCAACCCTGATGGTCCCAGACAGAAGACCATCAAGATCACAAAGAACTTGCATATGGGAGTGGATTCAGCATGGACTGGAACAAAGGACAATAATCAGCTCTTCCCTCTGGGGGCAGGAAACTGCAAACTCCCCTCTGTCACCTGGAAAGTACTCGTGGGGAGGGGGAAAGGGGGAACCAGCCAGGTGACAGGACACTCAGGTTACCACCACAACTCCTCCCTCAACCCCTCCTTTCTGTGATGTATGTATGATGTTTCTGGGGGTGGTCTTGATCTACAGGATGGGAATTTCAAAAGTCTTTATAAGACCTTGCACACCATTTTTTCTGTGTCTTTCCTCTCTCCTGCAAGTGAGGGGAGCACCCTGTTGCAACAGTTCAATAAAGGCCAAGCCTACAGGCTGCTGTTTTGCTCCAAGTTATCCTGGTTGGTGTCTTTGTTTTTGTCCAAGGGAGCCCTCGGATTTTTCTGTTAACAAATGCACACTAGTCAAGATGAGTTAATGTAGATTACTAGTTTTGGGTGGGTGAGGGAGGAATGAAGGAAATCAAACCCACAACAAAAACTTCATGGGGGAAACAACTAAGTTGGGGTGTGTGTAATTCTATAAAATAACATGCATCTTCAACGGTAGAACACAAAATTTATGGCCACAAGTACTGTATTTTTTTAAAAGTGATGCATCACTGGAATGAACAAACCTAAAACCTTTTGTACATAACAAACATTATGCACATTTATGTGTTTGCCCGTGAGCAAGCACACATTATGTACGTTAAAGGTAAAGGTAAAGGTACCCCTGCCCGTACGGGCCAGTCTTGACAGACTCTAGGGTTGTGCGCCCATCTCACTCAAGAGGCCGGGGGCCAGCGCTGTCCGGAGACACTTCCGGGTCACCTGGCCAGCGTGACATCGCTGCTCTGGCGAGCCAGAGCCACACACGGAAACGCCGTTTACCTTCCCGCTAGTAAGCGGTCCCTATTCATCTACTTGCACCCGGGGGTGCTTTCGAACTGCTAGGTTGGCAGGCGCTGGGACCGAGCAGCGGGAGCGCACCCCGCCGCGGGGATTCGAACCGCCGACCTTTCGATTGGCAAGCTCTAGGCGCTGAGGCTTTTACCCACAGCGCCACCCGCGTCCCTTATGTACGTTATGTAGCATTTAAACCTTACATCGGTCTCCAGTGATCTAGGATCATGGTCATCACAATTTCAAATGTGCATATATTGAAAACAATTTCCTATTTCTCAGCCTGCTGCTTTACTGTATGTGTAACTTACTCTAAGCTTCCAGCCTTCATTGCTTATATTGCCTCCACCCTCTCTATTGTAAGCTCTTTATCTGTAGATGGAGGGGGCGGTCTACTCATTCGGCATCTCACCCCCAGTTCCTTTGATTCTTTGATGTCTTAATGTTTCATTACCCCCAGGCTATCACCTAATGCAGGAGGCTAGTCCTGGCTTAATTAGCTGTTGACAGGTGCTGATTCCAGATGATTAGCAGTGTCTAATACACAGTTTAAATACCCACAGGTCTAGCACATTTTTAACACTCTAAGTATTAGTTAAATTCTGTCACTAGCTAGATCCAGGAATCTCGAAGGAAAGTTATGAGAGGATTCACTTCTTAGGCTCTCTCATTGTGCTTCGTTCCTGGTTAATGACTGGTTAATGACTGAGTGTGGTATAGACCACAAAGGAGAAATCATGTGCACATTTCTAGCCAACATTTTGTGATTTTATGTTTGTATCATATATCTGCAGTAAGCACAAACCAATTTATGTGCCGTTACGAAAAAGCCCTTAGAGTTCTAGCATGGAAGGTACAGATGTATTACACTTTTGCTTAACTGGGCAGTGTTTTTTCCATCGAAAGAAGCAAAATCTTAACATCAGCTCTGACCAGCTTAGCCCCAGATGCTGTAACCTTTCCTCATAGGGCAGTTGCTCAGTCTCCTTGATCATTTTGGCTGCCCTTTTAAGGGGTTGCATTCCAAAACAGCTCCAAAAATGGTGACGGCTATTCCGTCGTGACCCGGTGTGCAACACAGCAGCCCTGTAACTCCGGCAGGAACAGAGAACTCAGCATCAGCAGATCTCCTTAAATTTATTCAAAATATTCCCAACAAAATAATCACAGTGTTCCCGGCTTGGGCCCACTGCACCTGGGACAGGATCCAGCCCAGGCTCTGTTTCTCCTCTTCCAAATCTCAAATCGGGCGTTGTTGTGCAACAACGGCGAACAAATAAACATGCTGAGAAGCTTGGTAAGCCCCACCATGGTGGCTGGCTGGAAATATGAACAGTATTGGGAGAAGCTAATGCTTTCCAGAGGCATTTGGGCATTATATGTTTTCATACTTCCAGTTGGACTGCTTTGACCTTGGCGTTGGGTAGGCAATTCTAGGCAACTCTCGCATGACCTCGTCTGCCAGCATATTATCACTGAGCTGAATC